GGCTCAGCGCGGCAGCCATGTAAATTTAAATGAAGCGGCGATTATTTAAATCGCCGCTTCATTTTCCTATGTCTGGTAGCCTAATCTACATGCCTCTGCTGACAGAGGCATGTAGTCTAGACGTATCCTTAGCTCCCCTGCAGAACCAAGTAAGCATGCTTTTGGGGGGCTGGGAGTGTTGGGGGCCAGGCACTGAGTGTTTGTAGGGTTGCCAGGTGTCTGGTATTTTCGCCTCCTGGCTGGGAAAAAAATCAGAAAATACTGGACATTTTAGGTGTCCGGTATTTTCTGAAGTTTTTTACTGGACAGGAGCTGAAAATACCAGACTGTCCGGGTCAATACCAGACACCTGGCAACCCTATGTGGATGTAGAAACTTTCATATGCATAGATAAGTACTAGTAGACTTACCTGGTGCTGCCCAGGTCCATCAGGCTGGCAGTGTGGGAGTTGCAGGACTCAGGGCATTATGGATGGGGTGTAGAGATGCAAGAGAGAGGGTTGGGAGGTGAAAAATGGAGCATGGTGTGGAGATCCATCCTGCACGGGCCTTTTCTTTCCTCCCCCAGCCCTCCCCAATGGCCAACAAGGGCCTTTTTTCTCCTCCCAGCCCCCTTCTCCAGCCACCAGGGTCCTCTTCCCCCAACACTATGGCCAAGGGCTAGGAGGGGTGAAAGGATTTGGAGCAAGGGGGCTAGTTACTTGGTATGCTGGTAGGCAAGATGGCAGAGCCCCAGCACTGCTGGCTACTCCTTTGTTTGTACTGTTGCCCTCAGTGGACACTCTGCAGCATAGCTCTCCCCTGCAGGCTCATTGCCTCCAGGGGCCACTATCATATCAGGTCCTTTGGAACAGTAACCCTCCCTTTGCATGTTATGGAAAACAGCTGGGGCTTCTGGTTGTCCTGGTACAACCAAAATTTTCTTGAAGTTAGGAAAAGAAGAAGCTGCACATCAAATTTACCTTTTGGGAGAAGTTCTTGAACAAATGGACACACAGACAGAAACCTTAAAATACACACATGTATATTTATGAAAAGGTAGTGAAATAGGCCAGATGCTAATCTCAACTATACCAATGTAAATCCAGAGTAACTCTATTACTTTTCCAGCGTTATTCCAGATTTGCAATGATATAACAGATTGGAATTTGGCCCACTGTCAATTATTTGACAATGTCTGTCTTCCATATTTAGATGATTATTACCTTTATAGTACAAGGGCCCCTTTAATGCTAAGTGAAGATGGGGGAGGTAATATCTTTTATTGGACCAACTTCTATTGGCAAGAGAGATGAGCTTTCAAGCTACACAGAGCTCTTACTCAGACCTTGGAAAGATGTGCCCGAGTAAAAGCTCAAAAATTTGTTTCTCTTGCCAGCAGATGTGGATCCAATAAAAGATATTACACACCCACCTTGTGTCTCTAATATCCTGGGACCAACTTGGTCACAACAAATACTTTGATACAAGAATAATGCTGTGTTCACAACCATCTAACCTGACAGCAGCCAGTTAAAACAAATCCTTCTTATCCACTGTGTGATCACTGATCACTTTGCCAAATGGTTTATGGTTAGTCTAATGTCTTTTAGTGTACTATAAATCTCCCATTACTGTGTTCGAAGCAGCTCCAGATTAACAAATCTTATTACCGAGCCTACATCAAGACTGCAGGCTTCTTTCAGAAGACGCTTTTCTTCTAGAAAAACTTCTTTCAAAGGAGAGCATCCACACAGTCAAAGTGCATTGAAAAAGTGATCTGCTTTTTCAAAAGATAGCATCCACATTGATTGGATGCTCTCTTGCATTTCAGGTGTGAGTACTATGGATGGAGTGGCCAGTAGGGCACTTGTACTTTTTCCTGGCGGCTTCTTATTTTGGAAAAAAATCCCTTTTCCCCATCCACACACGCCTTTTTCGAAAGAGCTCTTTTGGAAAAAGGCTTCTTCCTCATAGAAAGAGGTTTACCACTGTTGGAAAAAATCCTGCGTTCTTTTGACTTTCTATATACTATATGCTTTCTGTATTGCAGTGTGGACATAAATGTAGTTTTTCCAGAAAAACTCGGCAGTGTAGACATACCCCAATATAGAAATGGTTGATTGTTCTTAGAGCATTGACTTTTTAGGATGTTCAATGTAAGACAGTGGTTTGGACAAATTTAGGTTGACAACAAATTGGCCCTTTACATGGATTTCATTTGCTTTCCCCACTGAATTCCTTAAATGTTTTTATTCTTCCTTAAATTAGAACAATTCCTTTTATGTGAAACCAAGAGTCGCTGTTCACAACTTTGGAGTGAAACACTACGCCGGTGAGGTAACTTTCTTTTTGTCATTTGGTAAAATGCTTCCAAATAGTGTGTCAGAATCACAGCCACTTATACATTAACTGAAAGATTCTGTTCCCTCAATGGTTTTTATGCTACTGCCTTTGTGAGAGCTACTTTAATGACTGCACTTTTTATTTGAGCCTGTTCTGCTCTTTACTAGGTCCAGTATGATGTCAGAGGAATCTTAGAGAAAAACAGAGATACTTTCAGAGATGATCTCCTAAACTTGTTACGTGAAAGCAAGTATGTTGGTGCATCCTGCAATGGTCTTGGGTGGTACCACATGTCTGGATTTCAATGAGAGTTGAGAGCAATGCATATAGCATAGGATGGGACATTTACTGAGGACAAGTGAGCATTATACAAGTGGCCAAGGAGATAGGAACTTAGTAAATGTCTCTTTTGAACAGTTCTAAATATAATACCACTTGACCATTTTGGGCCAGATTCTGATTCCCTTGTCAGAGTATCTTATTTCTAGTGATTGTAGTGTGTCTATTAGAGGAGAGAGGTACTACTCAGTCTGAGTAAATGTATTAGAATCTGGCCCATGATACTTCATGTTTTTTGGGTGCTTTACCAAACATATATGTAATTTTTTTTAAAGTGTGTCTCATGAGGCCTGATGTTGCATTTCTTGCACTTTCATGACCCCTACTTTCTTGGAGTTTTGGTGCACATGGAATTGAAGACTAGGCCTGTGGACTTTCTGTTCATTGTTTGTACAGTGCCTACCTCTGTGGGGTCCTTGTCTGGGAGGAGGGTTCCTTGGTTATACAGTAGCACAAATAAAGACAACAGCAATATAGTAAGCGATTCACAGGGAGATTTCCAGGGATTTAATTGGATATGTCCTGTTGAAAGTTGGTGGGACTTGTGCTGCTCCTAATTCTCAGGTGCTTCAGAAATTCCCTTTTAATGAATTCCCTAGTTAATATGTTCTGTTTTCATGTTATGCCTGAGGTAATATGTGTGTGTCTCAAAATATGCAGACAAATGCAATGGGAAAATTATAGCCATAGGGTCTGATTGTCTTCTCAGTTACCCATGTCAATCAGGAACAATTCTAGTCAAGTCAGCGGTTATGTTGTCAAAGTGGTGTTAGGGGCTTCCTATAGTCCTCAGTTAATATACATATAACACCCAAAATTAAGAGCTGAAGCTTAAGTTCCCACACACAGTTATTTATACGCTGGTGAAAAGCAAACAGTAAATATTAGTTGGTCTTCACTCTGATGTAGAATATATTACGGTCTATTGGTTGCATAATGATGAAGTAAAAAGTGATAAAGATGACAAGATTCCTATCCAAGGGGGAATGTCGAAAATGTAGTGTGTGGCATTTGGACTATTATTCCTTGATCTCACAGAACAAATGATACATTTGAAAGTCCTGTGGCTAATTGTTACTGAGAGTTAAAGGAGAAGCAATAGGAGTTACTTTTCTTTAAAGAGCAAAGCTTGCTCTGGATTGTACTGTGGTAAATTTTGTGGAGTCTTGGGATATTTCATAAACATTTTTCTTTCAGAATTGATTTTATTTATGATCTGTTTGAACACACTTCAAGTCGCAACAACCAAGACACCCTTAAATGCGGAAGTAAACACCGGAAGCCCACTGTCAGCTTACAGTTCAAGGTTCGTTAATATGTCCTTTCACCCGCTCTCAGCACCTGATAGATGATAAATAATCAGTAGTCAATCCAAATGCCAGTGGTTGGGCTGGGGGTGTATGTCCGTAGAAACTTTAAAATGTTGAAAATCTTTTGTACCAAAATGTTGCCTCTTTCTGTATAAAACTTCCATTAGCCTTGTGTAAAAGTTGACTTGACATGACAAAGAATTGTTGCTTCCCATTCATTTACTTGTTCTTGTTTTAACCTGCCTTCTGCTTCTCTCTCCCTCTCCTTCCTGGCCTCTTTCCCATATGCTAGACCCATCATACTTCATAGATTTTTGTCTGTCTTTCTCCCCATCTTGCTTAGTTTCTATTTCTGTCACTGGTTCCTTCGCTTTCACTTAGGCCTGGTGTACAGTAGAAAATTAGGTTGGTATAATTGCATTGCTCAGGGGCAGGGAAATATGCACGCCCTTGAGCAATGCAGTTAAACTGACCTAACCCCAGTATAGACAGCACTAGGTCAGTGGGAGACTTCCACCATCATCCAGGTTCCATGGCACCAGTCTCCCTTTGAGGCTCCACTGTCTCTGGAGACTTGATGCAGTCTCCCAGGTTACTTCTGGTGCTCCTGCAGCAAGTCCTTCCTCTTTGGCTTCCAGCCCAGACTGAGCTGAGCTGCTTCCTTTTATATTGCCCCAGCACCTGGAGCATGCCCAGTCTGGCTGGAGGGATGGGTCTTCCTCTGCCCACAGAATTTTAACCCCTTCTGTCCCAGGGCAGAGTATGTATAGGTCATGGTAAGGTAGGTCCTCCTTGGTGTACCTCTCAGATTCAATTCAGTTGTGAAACCTTTGCTGCCCTCTTTACCTCTGTCACTTGCCCTCTTATGAAGGAAGTGACAGAAGCCATAATGCTGGATGTGGAGAACCTCAGTGCGCAAGAACATCAAGTTCCTTCCTCCTTATAATCACACTGTCCACCTGCACAATCCTGGGTTTCATTTACTTCTGGGAGCTTGCGGGTTAGTCTTTACTGGGACTGGTCAGCAGCTGCAAGTTGTGATGAGTTAGTAGCTCAACAGCAATATAGGATCTTGAATCCTTGTTTCTAAACCAACTGTGCTTCCAGAAGGTTGCAAGAAAGGTGGAAAAACTCACTGGATTGCATGCCAGTTTGTTGGTTTGGGCCAAAATTCCTTCCTGAGCCCTTAAAACAGGCAGTTGGTAAGCCCCACAGCATCGTAATTGGCAAAACTGCTAATTTTCTACTAAGGGGAAAGAGGACAGGACAGCTAACCAGAGGTAAGCCCTGGCTCAGTTTTAATAGGCAAAGACCTAGGGCAAGGTGCACAGCAGCCAAACACCTGGTCCGTTTCCCTTTGCCTAACTAATTGCCAAGCAGAGAACTAAAGGGGAGAGTTGGGGAATGGAGGAGACAGCCCTTGCCCCCTCTCCCCCCACTACATGTGTGTTTTGGATTTTCTCATTCCCTTCTACTCAGGGTTTATATATCAGGGTTTATTTATCCCTTGGGCTTAAACAATGCATTTTTTTTTTACTGAAAGTGATTATTCCTCTGTGAGGATTGCTCATGTCAATTCCAAGTAAGTGTGTGTGCACCACACGGACAGTTGTTGGTACTGCTAGGGGAAAAACCCTCCATCAGGCCTAGGAATTGTGGAGGAAATAGACCTGATTGTTGCCATCCTCTTCTGAGAGGAGCCATCTTGGATGTCATTGCCACTGATGAAAACAATTTCAAACTCCACAAGGGGATTGGAGAGAAAACACTTTGTGCCCTCTAAAGGCTATGAGTACTTATACACTCACTCACGACTGGGCACATTTGTTGCGGATGCTGCCAATGCTAAGGAGACACACTCCAAAATCAAAAGGCGAGAAAATGCTGGACCTCTTTGGCTGTAAGGTCTATTCTACTGGGGGTGCCAGCTTAGGTTCTCCAATCAGCAAGTGGTACTCAGCCGCTATAACTTCAGTTCTTGGACCTGTTTGTCCATGTTTAAAGAGTTCCTTCTGAGTTTGGGGCTCTGATTGAGGAGGGGAAAATTATAACAAGAACCTCCTTAAATACCTTGTTGGTCTCAGCAGATTCTGCCATCTGCTCAGTGTCCATAGGCATTGTGATGAACAGGAGTTCATGGCCAGAGGTCTCTGGCCTCTCACTGGAAGCTCATTGGCAGGGGGCTCTTTGCCAAACAGACTGATTCTATGCCTGAAGGAGAGTAGGGCAACCTTGAAAACTCTGCACCTTCATATGCCAGCCTTATAGAGGAAGCATCCTTGGGGACCCTATGGGTATTCCTGGGTTAGAGTACTTGGGAGGGACAAGCCAGCATAGCCGGAAAATGGATATTACTGGACCAGAGCCCCAGTGGCTGGCAGCCCAGCGATAGGTTCCGCCGAGAGTTGGAGCCTGGAGGGATGGGGGCGCGGCAGCAAATGGAGTAGCATTGACTTCCCCTGGCCTGGCAAACTCCCCAGTTCTGGCACCATCAGAACCTGACTGGTCCCGAACAGAAATGTCAAACCAGTTTTATGTCCCTGCAAATATCTTTACATCCATCCTCCAGTGTCGCCTCTGGTCCTGCCTGCTGTGAAAGGGGAAACAGGACCACATCAGTAGGTGAGGATTTGCCTGTCTCCCCTGCCTTTAACAACTGTATTTTTACATCAAAAGCTAAGAATGGGACACTTCCAGCCCCCTTAATTAGTCTTATTTGCACCAGTCCTACAATTGACAGGTATTTTGTGCTGTTACATCTCTTGGTTTCTGTTATTTTTGTTAGTCTATAAGGTGCCACGGGACTACTCGTTGTTTGTTATTACTGAAAGAAGTTAGCAAAAATAGTATCACCTTCTCCCATTTTTCCCAGCTTTTCTGTTTTGTACATTTGCAAGCGCTTTGTATATCATCAGTTTCACTGTTTTCCCTCTCTTGATGAAGAGACACTTGAAAGAAAGATTAGATCAACAAGTACACAGAAGAACCTAGATATTCTTCCAAAAGTTCTTTAAAATGTAACATTAAAAAGTTAAACATTAGAATTTCAGAAACAAGGTTTAAAAAGATCGATGAACAAAATTCATTTTGAGAGTTTATTTGTAACAAAGACATTCATATGTGTTTTACTAAGTGTAGCTGTATTTTATAGTGCATGCTTCTCCATTAAATAAAATTCCTATAGTATTTTTAGCAACAAAATTAGATTCTCAAGTTGATGGTTCTTTATAAACAGAGCTTTCTTCATGTTGATCAGTAACTCTTGTCATTACTTTTAAACTAAATGTCAAACAATAGAGCAGTATGTCACCTCTCGTGTATCCCCATGATCAACTCTTGTTATGGAAAAAAAAAGTGTATGGTTGTGGTTGTAATTTCTATTCTGAATCACTAGGTGTTGCTCTAGAAACTACCTTAAATGCTTAGTTTTGAGCTAGATAAAGCATAGAATTTAAGAAAAATCAACTTATAAAGTACTTTTTTTCTACCTGTGTTTTAGGACTCATTGCACTGCTTAATGGCAACATTAAGTTCCTCTAATCCATTCTTCGTTCGATGTATCAAGCCAAATATGCAGAAGGTAAGTTTTAAAACTGCATCTATCTTGGTTGCAAGTACCTATGGTCCAATGCTCCATATCTTGTATGGTAATTTATACCTATGCAAATCATAATAATCATAATAATATCATTTTGGACTCACTTTCATGAGTGTAATTGACTCCAAAAAAACATGGCATGTTCTGGAGAAATCTCCAGACTTCTACCACTCTTGTGCCTGGTTTGGTTTGGTTTATTTATTCATTTATTTATTTGGGAAGCGGGTTATTTCACATGCGGGGTATACAACAAGTATAATAATTACTACAGTGAAATATGTTTAAGCAACTACCCAACGAATGGACAAAAATCAGTTACAGTATTGACATTTTAATAAAAAAGATGGAGCAGAATTGTGCTCAGTGCATTTGGGGATTTTATGGGAATAGTCTTTTATGACAGGACATTGTCAAATAAAGTCACTTGTAGATTTCACAGTTTGTGCTGTTGTTGTTCTGCTTGGTACAATTTAATTTTAAGAAATACTGTTTATTTCCAACTTGCAATCTAGTAATTTGGGAGCTTTCCTTTGCTGTATTTTTTTGACTATCTGACACTCAAACTTTCAATTTCTGCAAAATGCCAGGTGAAGTAATGTTTGGTTTTATGTTGTAGTTCTGAGACACTTATGTACTTAAAACAGGAAAAATTGTCAATCAGTTTAAAAAAAATTAATGTTCACTATGCCAAGTTGCCACATATGCCATGGCTAGTAGAAAGCAATAATGAGGCCTATCAAAACATTAGAATATGGGTCCTTCTAGGAAATAAAAAAGTTGGAGTCTTAGGAGTCATTTAATCTAACGTTGTTGCCCTGATCCTACAATGTCAAAGAATTCCTTTTCATTTGTCCATCATAGTGGGTTATCTAATGCTGAAAATGGAACAAGCAAAGACTTTAACTAATGCTAAGCCTTCACAGTGTAGTTTGGAGACTGTAGCTAAAGATACGCTACTTTGTAATACAACCCTGATTTTTCAGGACTATAAAACATCAAGGAATTTCATTAGATGCCACTAAAGATTCTGAGTATCCTTTAAGTTTTTCTTTAAGGGGAAAACTTTAACCTAGACTATCGGGTTTCAAATGACATTCTGTGATGCTTCCCATGTAATATCTGGGTGTTGTGGGGAAATTGTTCAGCCCTGTTAGGGGGGCCAGTTGCCTATATGCTGAAATGCCCTGATGCTGGCTCTGAGTACACATAAAAACCTCTCAGCTTGGCATATACGCCAGTGGCTTGGACCACTGGGGCCCACTTAGTCAAGTGCCTGCACAGCACTGCTCAGGGAGGTATTCATGCACCTAGGACTACTCTCCTTTGCTGCAAGGACCCACAGAGACCTGATCAAGCCCCTCTTCTATTGCCACTTGGGAATAAGAGGGACCCTACTGTATCTTCTTGCAACCAGGAGCCCTGAGCAAGCTCTGCCCAATGCCAACAAAAGTACGGGGACCCCAAATGGATGGTGCAAGGATGAGTCTCATTGTATTATGCTGCTTGCATCGCATGAGTGCATAATCCTTGCATTTTGCTAGCATGGCTTTTTCATCTCTTAGTGCTATTGCCACAAGGGAAGCGAGTACAAAACACTCTCTACTTCCAGCTCCTGCTGGGTATTGGGAGAATCCTCGGCAGTCCCCTTCTTTCCCGCTTGCTACCACTGTCTTGGAACAACAGGGCCTTGTGTGTAGTGCTCCCTCCTCAGTCTGTCAGTGACACTGAGGTAAGGTGAGAGGGAAAATA